ATAAATAAAATCAAAGATATAAAGTTCCAGAAAGGGTAGAGGCTCTGCAAAGAATTTGTTGTGTGGTCTTTTTTCTTTTTTTTAATGTTTATTTTTGAGAGAGAGACAGAATGTGAGTGGGGGAGAGAGAGAGGGAGGCACAGAATCTGAAGCAGACTCCAGGCTTTGAGTTGTCAACACAGAGTCAGTCACGGAGCTCGAACTCAGAACTGTGAGGTCATGACCTGAGCCTATGTTGGATGCTCAACCAACTGAGCCATGCAGGTGCCCCTGTTGTGTGGTCTTCTAAAAGTCCCTTAATTTCTTTATGGTCTTTAACCTGAGTACATGATGCCACATACCTGTGAAACTTGAAATTTTATTTACTTGGAACCAGGGATTACCCTTGGAGCAGGAAAAAATGAACAAGAAAAAGCCCACTTAGAGAGGTGCTGGGTAGTTGAGGTGTAATCCCAACTGAGATGAGGCTGCTCTCAAAATTACCCGGTTTTTAGTATTTTCATGTGCTTCTCTACTGCCCTTGGACTGCTAATTTCCCCAACAGTCTGAACTTTTGAGTCCCCTTATGCCAAACTTTGAGCCAACAATTGAACCTAAACTAAGACCTTACAAATATGTATTAAAGAACAAGAGTAATTTCTCTTATTCTCTCAAAGAGGCTTCTCATACTGATATTTGAAAATTCATTATTAACTGCAAAGAGGGGCATTGTAGAATTACAAACTATCATTCTTACCAAGGAGAATGATACTCGTAAGCTACAATGAAACAAGGACTTGCAAGCATCTAGCTTTGCATGGCACAGGTGAAAGACATTTATAGATGCCCTCCTTTATTTATTACCTTTATTCCTAGGTACTAATTTGCTTCTCTTTTCACAAGGACAAATTGAGTCTCTGAAAGATAAGGGAGTTAAGACCAAGGTTCTACAAGGTACTGAAGAAGAGCCTGGTGGAAGACTGCATCCCAACTAGAGCAGAGGGCCCAGAAAATTAGCACCAGGCCTCTATCATGGTAGCTACATTGCCTTGAGCAGATTTTGTGTGTATTTGTGGTAATTTGAAAATATGCCCACTAATTCTTTGACACTTCTCCCATATAAAATAGTCTAAGTCCCCTCCCCTTGGTGACTTCTATCTAAGGAGCAGATAGTTTCTTGTGGCAGAACAGCGAGTGGCTCTAAGGCTAGATTAGAAAAGACAATTCAGCAACCGGCTGCCCTCGGAATCCTGGCACTATGTTGTAAGAAAAGCTCAGGTCACAGAGAGAAGCCATGTGTAAACTTCCATCCAACTGCTCCAGTAGTCCCAGCTGACAGCCACCATCAAACACCAAATATGTGAGTAAGCAAGCCACTAAATGATCCTAGCCCCAAGCTTTCCACCTATTAAATGGAGCAGAGACCATTTAGTTCTAGCTGTCCCCAGTAGAACTGGCCTAAATTGAAGGTTTGGGTACAAAATAAATATTGAGCTAAGCCACTGGAGTTTGGGGATGGTTGATTATACAGCCATACTTGACTAGAGCAATTTTTTTAATGTTATCTCTAATTCCCACTATAAGCCTGAAAAATAGGTACTGCTGTCCCTTTTTGACAGAGGAGTAAACAGGTCCAGGAAGGTGAAATGACTGGCTTAGGTTTCACACTAAGTGGCAGAGCCAGGATTTAAGAGCTTGAAAGAATAGGCCTTCTTCACTACTCCTGAGAGCAGTGGGATTAGACCAGTTCCTCAGTCTTCTGAAGAACCTGGATTCCAAAAGCAGCTTGATTTCTAAAATATTAAGACGAACAATGTTTCATTACTTACAATGTGTCTCTCAATAGGCTTAAAACACACATACACACACAAAACCAGTATAAGGCTTTTTAACCACCTTAACCTTTTTAATCTTGACAACAGCCCCTGTGAGTGGATTATCTTTCCAATTTTACAGACTACAAAACCAAGGCTAAGGATAAATAAATGGCCCAATTCTCCCCAGCCTGTAGTGTGTGGTAGAGCTGGGATGTGAACTCAGGCCTAATTTGCAAACGTTTCCCTCTGCCTCTTGCCTGCAAAGATAGTATACACTTTATTCCGTGTTCCAGATGAAAAACGTTTTCATAATTTTCTCGGTTGGCAAGACTCCTAGGAAGGGAATTTAGTGATCACTCAATGCCCAATCCCAATCTACGCCCACACATCATTTCACATCAACCCCAGGCGGTCGCAAGGGACAGAGACTGGGGCTCGTGACATTACCGCAGATCAGGCTCACAGGTGATCACCGTCATACCTTTATTGATCGCTCCTCCCAAGCACGGCAGTTACTCTTACGTCTCAGAGTAGGGAAATTATGTTTGCATCTGTGTTCCCATTTGCAGTCTCGCCACTGTGCTAAGCGCTTGACACTCGCCCTTCCCCTTCCTGTGCAAGCTATGGAAAGGTTGGAGTTATGATGGGGGAAAAAAACCCTTTCAATGAATCTGTCAGTCGCCCTTCGCTCAATCGAAAGCAGTCGCGGCAAGTTTGTTAACGCAACAACGCACAATCTCATAAATTTATAGAGAGGGGCCGTTTTAGAAAGGAGAGCGAAAACTCAAAAGTTGTTCGGGCTTTGCCCAACATTACACCCACTAATGAAAAACTTGAGATTCGGGCCCACAACTGGGAAGCTCAAAAGCCCCCAGGTTCTCCTCAGACTGCCACTGCCGAAGCCCCAGGCTTCTCCGCCGTTGCGAACTGTGCGAACGTCGAAGTCGACGCGCTCCCAAGTCGCACCAGGCCGCAGACCCCGGCCCACTTCGCTGGTGCCACCGCCTTCCAGGGAGAACTGCCAGCCTCTGGCCTCGGCCTCCCAGCACCGCCCGCCCGTTCTGCTCCGCCCCGAAGCGCGCGTGGGAACGCAGAGTCCTCCTCAGGGCTGCCCAGGACGACCGCCTGTGCGCACCGGTAAGGGCTTCTGCCGCCCCCGCCGCCTGCCCCTCCCCGCCGCCGCCATCTCCTCCGCGCCTCCGCTTCCCCGCCGCCGGACGCACGCAAGGGCCGGCGCCCCAGGAGCGCGCCGAGATGTTTCTCTTTTCCGCCCGGCACTGCCGCGGCCACCTCACATCCGGGCGCGCGGCGGCGAAGGCGGTGCTGGGGCCCGGGTGCGTGGAGGGAGTTATTAAGGGGGAGGGGGCCCGGGAGGAGGGGCGGAGGGCTGGGCCGTGGTTACGGCGGCTGAAGAGAGACAGTCCGAGCTGGCGGGGGGGTGGGGG